CTTGTCCAACAAGACACGATATCTTATTAAATATTAAACAATAATATTAAATTCCTAACTTATTCTCTAAGACACCTATTAAATAATAATAATAATAATAATAATAATAATAATAATAATAAAATTATTCTACACCATTCTCCCCCAGTTCGGAAGGCTTCGCCCTTGAGGCCGACGCGATCCTGTGGCTGGCGTGTCGTATCGAACCCATGGTAGGCAACGCCCGTCGTTTTCTCTGGTCGAACACGAAGGTTGAATGTCGCCCAACCAGTTCAACACTCTCTTGATTTTCATCAGACATGGATACATCTACAGCTGTCTCACCAACATCAACAATAGATACCAAGACCCTTCCAAATAAAGACATTGTATCAATACACCTTGGGCACAACCATGAACAAGCACATCTGCCTTCAGGATCAAACCCAACACGAAAAACGTGATACCACTTATCACAAGAATCATAAGCAATGGATGTAGCAATATCTGATTATACATCAATTGATACCGATCCATTACGAATTTTGCAGTCATCTCCATCCATGTCGACAACTGCATTCTCATTGATTCCCGTGTCCCCACAAAGATTTTTCTCCGTTATCGAAGGTTCTTCATCAAAGATCGGCGGACCGTTGTACAATGGCCCATCAACTTGATCAGTGTCGAATGTGGGGATGTCAACATGAAACGGGCCCTCCCATTGACCATATTCGTGATCAAATCCCCAATCGTGTCGGGCACGATATCCGCGGGCGAAGGCAGCCTCCTCGCGCCTGCCTATGTCGTCGCGTTGATTGTCGCTATCCACGAAGACCGGACCCCGTCACCCCATGTCACGGTCGTCGAATGCAGCAAAAGGGGTCAGCCTCGACGTGCAGGGGTGGAAAATCGTCGAAGGGATTCACCTCCGAGCAGTGATGAATGTACATTGGGCCTGGGTTGGGCTGAAGCCCAGGCCTTGTAATTTTTTTTTTAACAATTATCAGTTCAGAAAATTAATGTGTTTTTAGTCCAGTCCAATAAATCAACTCATTAACCCACCAAAATAATTTACATATCTATTTAAATCCAAAGACTATAAATACCATTCTAATAAAATATTATATATTATTAATTTACCCTTCCCACCAGGCAATAATCTACCGAACACTACTATACACCAAACTCCATGTATATCATATTTGGATTTAAAATCATGATGTAAGCATTTCATTTTACTAATAACTATGCTATATGGAAATTTAATTTATTGGTATTGTGAAATTTTTAAAAATTAACATGGAGCACCAACTTTCGGCCAAGAAAGGAAAAACCCCATTGATATCATCGTTCTTTAGAAAAAATGATTGTGAAACTAGTGAAAGCACATCGAATACGGTGTAAAATAAACATAATGAATTTTTTATTCTATAAAAGCTCGTTGAGCACAACTTCACTGAATATTTGAAGAACAAATATTATATAATTTTTATGAAATTGATTTTTTGAAATTCTAGCCTAGTCTATACTTAATTTTTGGATCCGTCCCTGCCTCCGAGATTGTCTCCACGCCATCTTCGTTGCCGGACGGTAGTTGTGGAGATCCCCGGCGGGACGCCCCGCCTGGACCACGGCCTCCACGTCCCCCGCACACGCCCCGGTTGCCGGCGTCACAGTACGTTTGCTTGTCCCGAACCATGGTACGGATAGTTAGACGTATGTCCCCGATCTCCGTGGACAGATATGCAATATGACGACCCATCATCTCGAGCTCGCGGCCAAACCACTCAGTCCAGCGGCTCATGTTGTAGATGGCGGCAATACGCCTGTCGTTTGAAGCATCTTGTCTTCGCGACAGCATCGTGAATCGTGCTGACTTCTGATACCAACTGTTTAAATCGGTTGTCGATCTGTTGAAACCGATCGTTGAAGATTGCATCACATCGTTTGTTTGCGGCATCTTGTCTTCCCGACGACATCGCGAATCGTACTGACTGCTGATACTAACTGATGTAGGGGAGTGGGACGATATTAGTGAGATCGTAATCTCAAGAACATCAAAACATGATATCAAATCATCTTTTCATTTAATAATTCATAATCAACCATCTCATAACAAAGCAGAAGAACCCTTTAAATAAGACTCTTAATCTTGACTAGTTCACTCGCTCTTACCGTTGGTCGTTCACGTCTTTATGTTTGCTGAGGACTTGTCGTTGGGCCTACGGTTTCTTAAATTCAAAATTGACTAGTTCGCTACTACAGGAGAGGGGGAACCCTTTCCGTCCCCAGTGGCAAGAAGAACAAGGTAACATACTTCCGAACAGCTCCATCTGTCGATGAATCCCCTTCTGCTTCCCTTTGTGGCCTATCCCAGACAGCTATGGAAGCTGCTACCCTAGACCTTAACTTGTTCAACAAGACAAGATCTCTTACTAAATATTAAACAATAATATTAAATTCCTAACTTATTCTCTAAGACATCTATTAAATAATAATAATAATAATAATAATAATAATAATAATAATAATAATAATAATAATAATAATAATAATAAGTACTAGTGATAATAATAATAATAATGATATTATTCTACACCAATGAATAACTAATTAAAATTGATGTGATGTGTGAAGATAATAGATTTATATTATTAATTATATTGATAATATTGAGGAGAGTTGAATTCAATTAAATTTTAGTTGAACTCTGAGTTAAAAATTATCTGACCAATCAAAATCGGTTGATTTTTGTAGCTAATCACACCTTAAAATATCGGTTTCTCAGATAAATTTTTTTTGTCGTATGATTGGATACAAATTCTTTTTTTAAAAAAAATATTCATAAAATGCTATAATAAATATGTTACCTAAAGCCAAATGGGCTTATCAAATTGTTTGAACGTGAACAAACTCAAATTTTGACGAATATATATACAAACAAGGGAGCTCAAAAATGAATTTTAATTCGAATTATAAACAAACGAATAATCAAACACAAGATTGAAATGCTCCAAACTCCCGTTGGATTACAACACAAAAAAAGAAGGTACCCAAATGGGTATGTGGAGTAGGAGTATGCATTGGTCGATCAATCCGAATTAGGAAAATCGAAATAATCAAACCATTTTATGCCAATAACCTAAACCGACCGAATTGTGAATTTAAACCGAGCATTAACCCACCAAACTTTTTGACCCAACTGACTGAATTGTACATTTTAAAAAATATATATAAGGTTGTGATTTATATATATATATAGGGGTTGCTTCAAATAAAAACCAGTCATTGTGTGAAAACAGTGAGAACCATATTTGATGTTATTTTTAATTGTGTATAATGTTATTTTTAATATTACATGGTGCTATTATTTTTAAAAATACTAATATAAAATGTGTTGCTATTTTAATAAAATACATATTAATTAAAACAATAGCATTAAACACAATCAATCATAGCACTACGGACAATTAAAAATAGCGGTTCTCACGTTAGGACTTGGTTCTCATTTGAACCACATCCTATACATATATATATTCTGATTTTTTTATTTATATATATAAATATACATATTTTTTGTTCTAATATATATATGCCATTGGAATTGATAATGAAAATTAAAAGATACATCTCATATGACACATCTTATTGTGGCATAACTTATGGCGAATAGTGGAATTGAGTTAAAAATGAGTTAAATTTGAGTGTTGATTGATTTTTTTAATTGAATTGATATCAGGTCACTAAAACTAGTAAAGCAAACTAGTGAGAATCCTGTGCAATGTACGGGGTTTCTTACTTTAGAACTTTTTTTTAAACTTTATTTTCACAATATATTAGCATGCTGACCCGTTTATATTATTATAAATAATATTTTAACATATATATTTATTTTTTAATACAAAATAATAATAATGTTACATATTTTGGTTCATCATAATACTCAACTATTAATCTATCAAAAAATCTATTATCATATGATGTCATTATTATTTATAACACTTGTAGAAGTAATATATTTGTTATATAATGATAAATATGTAATGTATATTAATATTATTTATTGATGTAATTGATTTAAAAAGATAAGCAAATTTAATGTTTGGTAAGAATGTGATTATATGTAAGTTGAGATAAAATGAAATGTATCAAAAAAATCTGCTTATGATATTTTCCTTTAAATGTTTGAATGAATTTGAAATTTAAATCACAAATCAACCTCCAGTTATTCAAATAATTTTAAAAAAGTTACCAATCATAGTAAAATGTACGTGACAATATATTATAAATATACATGACCTCAGTAATGCTATGAATCTTTAGGTGCCTAAAATATATATTGTTTAGATATGAAACTAATTAACTTATATGTTAAGATAATATATATAAATATATGTATTGTACGAAATATACATGTGACAAGTTATTATATTTGTTTATATATTGTTTGTATATTTGTTTGTATTGTTTATTATATTTGTATATAAATATATTATTTATATATTTGTCTGTATTGTACGAAAAATTATTATATTTGTTTATATATTGTATAAATATATATTGTTTAGATATGAAACTAATTAACCTATATGTTAAGATAACATATAAAAATATATATTGTATGTAATTTTAAACGTGTTTGCTAAATTTTTCCCCTAAAAAATTCAAAATACATTTAGGCATGTTTTGTTTGAAGTTTGAAATTTAAATATGCATCTATATAACAAATCCCATGATTTATGCTAGCATTAAATGCTACTTGTTTTTTTATTAAAAAAATAAAAAAAAATACCAAAAATAGAATGCAAATAATATTCCCTATTTTTTTGCTTATTATTTTTGAAAAATGTTAATTCTTATTATATATATATATATATAGATTCATATATGCTATGTTGGAATTGATAATTTAAATTAATAAAGCCACTTCATATGAAACATCATCTTGTAGCATGACTTATGGCGTTTATGGGCGTCATATATATAGAATTTATGAATGTAATTAATATAGTAATTGAGGAGAAGAAATGGATTGCTATTAGATATAAGGCCAAGAGTACATCATTACTACATAAATCCAACAGAAAAAAAATTCTACATGAGTGGACCTTTTTTCTGCTGTTTGTCACCCAACAAGATGTTGCACAAATAAAGTTGCAACAAGGAAACTGGAAATTAATTAATGCTAATTATATATTAGCTTATTATTGATAGCAACAGAGACATTTGTGTACGTCTATTTATTGCTATGATCCTATGACTTATGAGTACTCTCTTGTTTCACTCCTTTCTTAATTAAGCCCTGCAAATTACAAGAGCAACATGTGGTTAGAGACATTAATTAAATAAATAAATAATAACTTAACTAATTAATTAATTAAAATGAGAATTAATTAGGTCTAGTTGTCACATACGGGGTATAATCAATCTGGATTCTTCCGGCACTTGGGTCGGCAATCACTGCGAAAGCTTCTTGGGAGAGGTCGAGCTGGTCGGGCCCACAAGGGGGACAAAAGTCCACGATCTTAACGGTAACCGCACCATTACGACAGTTGCCACCCGTGCACGTGACCGTGTAACTCTGCCCACAAGCCGCTCTATTGTTGAATAAGTCAAGGTTAGCCGCGGCTATCATCGTGCCTTGGTCTTCATTTCCGAAGCATGCTGATGCTGCGTATTATTCGAACATATTATAGAATCAATTTTAATTTGCGGTTATTAATGTTGAATTTAGATATATAGAATAAACCATTTCATAATTAGTTGAATAATTATATATGGATTGTCAATAGTTTTTATACAAAGAGATGGACACAATAAATTAGATTTGATTATATTAATATAAAAAAATATAAAAAAAATAGATAAATAATCCTTACCAACATAGGGAGGAGTATAGTAGGTGGCTGTTCCAGGTATGGCACAAGCCATGGAAACTAAGCTAGAAGCAGCAATTGCCAAGATTATAATCCTTTGAGTGGCCATTTTTCAACCTCAATAGAGTATTTGTATACAGTACTTGCAATTTTTTATTTTATTTTATTATTATTATTATTTTTTTTTTTTTGAATGATTTGTTTGTAAGTTGATATTATACATTCAATTAGATGATAAGTGTCCCGCTATTTATAGGAATGGGATCAAGTCAAGAAACCAAAAGTCCCCAAACGCGTCTTCTTATAATATGAGATAATTAATTTGGTATCCCAAAAAGTTGTATTACAATAAATATAATAGTAAGTATAAAATTTGACATAGTACGCACATTGACAATATTTTGTAGTTTTATACATCATATCAACTTTAAATTCGACTATTCTACACTTACATGTCGTTAACGTCATCTTTTATGTCAAAAAATGTGTTAAAGTAATTTTACACTTCCTATCAACTTTGAAATTGATTGTTTTTTGCAAAAATTAATTTCCGGTCCATAATTGGCTTCGTTCAAAAAATTTAAGCTATATTAGCAGATATTATATCAAGTACATTAATTTGTAAAAAAATATACACTAATCACGAGAGGTGGGACACTACAAGAAAATGATGAAATTCCAACGGAAATATATTCCAATAGAATTCCAACGGAAATTCCAATGGATATTTCAATGTTATTATTTCCGCTGTAATTATTCCAACGGAAATTCCTACAAAATTATTCCGTTGGAATGAGTTTTCCATTGGAATTTCCGTTGGATTTTGACGATTCCAACGGTAGATTTTCCAACGGTGGTGGAAATAAAAATTCCAATGGAAATTGCATATTCCAACGGAAATTCCTACGGTCAAAAGCAGTTGGAAATATAGCCGTTGGAATCATCAAATTCCATCTAAAATTCCAATGAAAAATACATTTCATTGGAATATTTTCATTGGAATTTCCGTTCCGTTGTAATTTTCATTGGAATATATTATCATAGGATTTTCCGTTGGAATATAACTATTTTTCTTGTAGTGGGATAAGGGTATGATTAGTAAAATATAATATGGGTTGAACACGAGCAAAAAATTGAATTTGTACGCATAACCTTAAACAAAATGTTGAATAATCAAACGAATTATAAATGAGCTGAAATTTTTAAGCAGAACTGTGTCGATGAAATGAGTCCGATGGTAGATCATTTGACTAAAACAGATATCAAACAACATTGTAATTAGTTCGAATATAGAACAACTCAAATTACTATAGATGAAAAAAATAGGTTAGGTAGATGAAGGGCTGAAATTTTTTGGAATGACTATCTCAATATGAGATATTAAACCGTGCACCACCCAATTTAAATTTATATCAGACGACACTTAAATGACCCACAAAAAATGAAGGAATCGGGGTGATTAATGAAGGAAATATTAAAAAATCAAAAGTAGCTCTAGTTTACGGCCAGATTCATGAGCCGTCGGGAAAACTTAGTGGACAAATGAACTCTCTTATTATGCTAGAATTTTGTAGGTACGACCGTTTGACAAATTAGTATACTTAATTTAATGTTTGCCAATATAATGTACTGTTTTCGAAAAGATACCAATATAGTGGATTAAAATAAAATGGTTTTTGCATTTTTATCTCTAAGAAATTTTAGGGATTGATTGTTTATAAAATTTTTCAGTTCATACTCAGAATCCAACTCAATTCCACTATCTTCAATATTATAAATATAATTAAATAACACCAAACAATCGCGCTTAGGCATCACATCAATTTTGATTTACTAGTCATCCACTTACATAATTTTAACTAATCATCACTTCATATCATCTATCTCCTACATTTACATCTAATCAATTTTGATTATTTTATTTAATTATATTTAATATAAACTCAAAATTCTATTAACAATTAACGATACCAACTTTTTTAAGATTAACGTTGATTAACAAAAAAAACTCGTTTTGAGCGGATATATTTATATCCAAGCACGCTTCAGTGTTAAGATGCATTTAATTCAAACTTGATAAACTGCAAATTACTAAGTTTGCATATAAAAATAAAATGGCGGGACATCAATTTAAACATAAATTCTATACCTAGACGACGAGTATACATACTCGTACCACTACAAGGAAATGATGAATTTTTAACGAAAAATATTTCAATAAAATTCCAACCACAATTTCAATAAATATTTCAATGCTATTATTTTCATTAGAATAATTCTAACGGAAATTCCAACAAAAATATTCCGTTGGAATGAGTTTCTATTGAAATTTCCATTAGATTTTAACGATTCCAACGGTAGATTTTTCAACGATGATGGAAATAAAAATTCCAACGGAAATTCCTACGGTTAAAAGCCGTTTGAATCATCAAATTCCATCTAAAATTCCAATGAAACACATTCCTACGGAATATTTTAGATGGAATATAACAATTTTTTGGAATTTCTATTGGAATTTATTACTATAGGATTTTCGTTGGAATATAACAATTTTTTTTGCAGTGTACAGTGAAATATTTTACTATAGGATTTTCGTTGGAATATAACAATTTTTTTGCAGTGTACAATGAAATATTATTTCTTATTTATATTTTTCTAGAAATATTTAATAATATAGATGAAAGTATATCTACTGTATGACTACATTGTTAGAGTAATAAATGTTTTTGGTTGGAAATTTTTAATCTCATATTCTCATTGTTAAGAAATTGGACTTGCAACACAAATTAATTTGTCTGAAAGTCGCCTGATGTGAGAAGGAATTTATTTTTTACTCGGTCAAAGCATGCATATGTCCAACTNTTTTGGTACAATGCATATGTCCTAACTTTTGATCGCTTGATATGCATGAGAGCATCTTCAATTGTTTGTTAATTGTAGAATTATAAAGGTATTGTAACAAAAAAACTTCTCCAATGGTGAGGTTTTTATTTCTATATGTGATGATGTGGCATGAGAGAGACACAAAAAATCTAGAAGCCCTTCTAGACTTGATGAGTCATTCTTTTTCTTCAATATATTTCTTTTATATATATTTAAATTATCATTATACAATTAATAAAAAAAAGCTAAATAAATATAATAATATCTATATAAAGATTATTTCATTTACTAAAATACTAACTAAATTTGAAGAAAATCTTCAATTTATAATCTAAGACGTTAATTAAATTATAGTTTGATGGTATTTATTTGTACACACTTCATCAAAAAGCATATTAATTTACGTCAAGAAAAAAAAAATTGATACATCTCTAAAATTATATTATAAATTTAATGGTATATATTTTGTCAAAATTATGAATTAAAATACATAATACACCCTTCGAAAAATAATAAATATCGAATGATGATTCAATACAAAAATAACTTATAGTATTATTTGTTTGTAAAGTATTATTTGGTTGTGAATGAAACTAGTATTCGGCCTGTGCATTTGCACAGATATATAAATAAAATATTGCGAGTTATTTGTATGCATATAATGATTAATGATTTTTGCTAAATTTACAATTAAATGAGCTGAAATCTTTATTTTTTAAAAATACGTTTTTCATATTGGATGTAATGTATATTTTGGTATATATCTTTTGTTGTGAATTATTTGTTATTTATTTAGGAATTTCAAATACGTTTTTTATTTCCAAAAGAAGTTAATTTAAATGTAACCACAACAATAACATCTACTCAAGTTAAATAGTCAACACATTATATGGTCAACCGTAAGTAAATAAAAAATTTAAAATAATTTTTGTAATTTTGAAGTGATTAGTGTTTTGATATCTAATAATTAAATGAGAGGTTAAATAAATAAGAAATAACAATTTTTCGATGAAAAAAACTATATTGCCACATAGGTATAATTTAATAAGTTTTATTAAATACTAATGAGCCAGCAATTATACATATATATATATATATATTTAGGGTAATGAGATTTGCAAAAAATATTGGATATTTAATATTTAGTTTTTATTACAGTTATGAAATGAGAAAGAATATGGCATAGTTGATTTGACCGACTATAAATAATATTTATTTTTTATGAGTGATGAGATTTGCAAAAAATATGAGATATTTAATATTTAATTATTATTAAAGTTATGATATAAGAAAAAAATATGGGATGTTGATGCTTGGAATTTATATAAAGAATTTTTTAAAATTTTGGATTCCCGCATCTTTTTTTCAGATTTTCGCCTCCTATTCAGATAATTTCGAAACAGTAATTATCTCAACTTTTGGAATTGTAATTTGATAATTATAATTAATTGTTTTAGTTGATCTTTAATTTTGTTATTTTTGCAGGAATTGACCGGAGATGGAGCATCTGATTTTTTATTTTATTTTAAATTTATTTTTTTGGTTAGTTGTATTTGTTAATAATTAATTTTTTATTTATTTTCATTAATTTCGTTTAGTTTACTATGCATAGAAAAAATAATTTCGATTAAAAAAATAATTAATGAGAACTGTTGAGAGTAATTAATATGTTTAAAAAAATATGGAAACATTTTCATTTTCATTAACTCGTTATAATTGCAGAATTAATTGGTTGTCATTTTTAAAACACTCAACTTTTCAAGAAAATTGAGTTGTTTTTAATAAAGAAAATAAAAAATAAAAACAAATGAAAAGTAACGGAAATTGGCGGGAAAATGCCACCTAGGTATAATTTATGAGGTTTAATTAAATGCAGAAGAGCTAGTAATTATATATATATAGATTGTGTGCAATATATATTGGTGAAAATATTGTGATTTCATGTTTGTTCAAAGTTGGTTCTGCCATTTTCCTGCGAGTTTTTTTACCTTTTTTCAGAACAACATTTATGTATAGATGTTCACAAAAATATTGTGATTTCATGATGGTTAAAGTTTATTCACATTTTCCCTACAAGTTTTACAAGTTTTTTGTTTTTTAGAACGACAAAAGAAAAGAACAGCAAAAGAAAAAAAATACACATTTATCGGGTGGGTATAGACATTTATCATTGAAGAGTTATTTATGAACATGACAGTTATTTATTGTGTTTTTGTGTTTATTTTCATGTGTTTTATGTGACTTAATCAATTCTTTTTAGGTTCGTTTTTAGTGTCCAT